CCCTCCACTCCTTTGATGTCCATTTTCTTCTCCATCGGTAGCTGCAGATGGGGAGCCTAGGTCATGGATTTGGGGGGAGGATGAGATTGCCTGGTGGGACTCTATCTCCATGCAAACTTGCCCAATACGGATGTAAAACACGTCATTCTTCTCTGCTCGGGGGCCACACTAAAGATGAAAGACTCATTAGAGGCACCAACATTTAGATTTGGCTGGTTCAACCACACAATGACTCAGCCAGGATGTGTTTTCCCTTAATCCCTTTCAATTCTACCCCCACTGAAACAAACCATAAAGTAAAAGAAGCCACTGAAGTCATGAAGTGCCAGGACTCAAGGTGTCATGGGGCTTTGCCGTGCAGCTTTCCTGTGTGGGACAGGGCTCAGGCACCAAAGATGGGCCACGCAGGGGAACTTGGTGATGCTTGTACACAACATAAGAGTGAGGGAAGCTGTGGAAGCAGCAGGTGGAAGCTGTGAGGTGGGGGGGGGAATTTCCTTTCCCTCCCCATTTGGACTCTCCCTGCTCCATGGGCACTGGCTCTGGGATGCTGCCAGCATTCTGTGTGCATCGGCTGTATAACCCACCGTAGTGCTGGGTGCTGGTGCACAGTCCAAACGTACAAAAAGGCTGATTTATTTATGTGTATTCCTATTTAAATAGCGAGTGTAATTAAGCCATGGAACTATTTGGCGGCAGAGCTGCTAGCACAAGGACAGCTGTTCTTCTGAGGGGCATGTGCACGCACTTGCTTTGGTTCAACAGAAATCAATCTGGGGAGCCTGAGGGTGTGGGAAAACAGATCTTAGCTCCTCCTGGTACCTTTTGCCATGTCACGATGTGAAATGAAAGCCCCGACTCCTCTGCTTTGGGTTGCCAGGCTGGGAGCAGTGATGGGCACGATGGGTATGGGACGTGCTGGTGCATCCCTTGGACTGTGGGGAGCAGGGAGAAACAGGGGGCTGCGGCACTCCCCACTTTGGGTCCTGTGTGGAGTAACCAGCTCTCTCTTGGTAGATTCTATGTCATAAAACCTGGATTTTGGGCTCTATTTTACAGTCTACATTAGTGCCACTGCATACTGCATCCTTCTAACAGCTCCCACGCTGTACCTCTGGTCTCAGTTCTGCTTGTGTCACTCACAGGGGAGATTTATCCAAGGGGATTTGATGCCTGTGTGGGCTGATTTTAGTTGTCTGCCGTGGTGCTTGCCTTGGCACACCTGAGGAGCCCAGCTGCTTTGTAGAGAGCCTTTATAATGAGCACTATTCATATCTGCAGCATGCTCGTAACAGCTACTAATCATTTTATTACTCTTTATAATCTATTTAAAGCACAATTAGGAGGAGAAAAAAAAAATCTATACAAAGTTACAGCCGAAAGCACCTTTTAGTTACATTATAAATCCCTGAAAAACAACCATCTATCACGGGATGCGCCGCTCCTCCGCTAGGCTGACAGAAATGGATGCGGATGCGCTACACCGAGGGAGGGCTGGATGGTGGACCTCAGTCGACTCCTCTCAGCCCTTCAAAGCACGACTCCTTCAGGCTCCAGCAGCAGGTAATCACGCAGTGGCTTGGGCACAGGCAGCAAAGGGATAAGGCAATGGCATTTGCTGCCAAACTTGTCCCGGATGGCGGAGCGGCACAAATGCTGCAGGCACCGGACTGTGCCCGCCAGCCGGAAAAGGGACTCGTAGAAGAGCTGGTGCTGCTGCAAAGGGGGAGGAGGGAGAGACAAGAGCATCACTGGGTGGGTTTTGTCCCAGTTAAGCCAAATAAGCCAGAGATACTTTTGAGATGCGGATCTAAGGGGAGGAGGTAAGAAACCCATCGGTGATGTTAAGGGGCCGTTGAGCTGAGGTGGCTCTGGCGAGAAAAAGCTGGATGAGGAATTCTCCTGTGGAAGCACACATGGAGAAAGCCAGCCTCGCTGCAAGGGCTGTTTGGAGAGGATGCTCTCAGCATCCCTGCAGAAAGCCTTAGAGCTGATGTAGAAGAGACCTGCTTGTTTCTAAGACAGGGAAACAAAGAAGCATCGCCCTGTGCAGCCTCAGCTTTTCCTTAGCTTGGAATAAAGACCCTTTTCCCCATCCTCTAGAACCTGCTGAAGAGCTTTATTTGTACTTCAACAGCCGTCCCCTCTTGCAGCCAGGATCATCAAAGACCTGCAGGGGCAAGGCAGCCAGCAGAGATCATTCGGTAGCAGACTGGCTGGACCTGTTGCACATCTGGGGACAAGCTTTTAAAACCAGAAATATGTGGTGTGGGTGCCTGAGCAGTGGTCTGGATCCAGGGTCACTTCCAGATGCTGTGGTTGTATTTTGTTGCAGGGCAGGGGGGGTTTGGTGTTGACGGAGCTAAAGGGATGCAAAGCTCCCGAGATGAACGAGGTGTGTGTGTTTGGTGGTGCTCTGAGGACTACTCCTTTCTTTTTCTTCCCTACCCAAGTGAAGTTTGGGTGGGGAAAACACCTCTTGGGAGGTAAAACCCCCTCCTCAGGGCTCTGCTGTCCCTGCCAAGCCACCAGCTCTGCCTCACCTGAAGCACCTCCTCCGGCACAGCCTCAGCCCACTTCTTGGTGATGGGGATTTGCGAGTAGGAATTGAGGAGGACTTCGATGACCTCCGGCACGGCCGCGCAGGACTTCAGCACCTAGTCATGGGCAATGGGAGGGGGTCAGGCACAGATACCTGTCCCAGAGGGGGACAGTGTCCGTGTGCTGCAGCCAGGGCTTGTCCCACCCCACCAGCGCCCAGGCTGGGATAGTCCCATGTTGGTATCAGGTGGGTGTAGGGTTTGTCCTGGCATGCCCTGGAGATCTTTCTCCCTCTGTGAAGCAGTGGGAAGATCCGCCTTGCTGTGGCCCTTCTTCCTCTGGATGTGGCCCTTGCTTCTTACTTACATTTTTGGCTTGTGCATGATAAGCCAGGATAATACTTTCTTTATTGTTTGATGTAAAATCAATGAAACGTGGAGCCATAAGGCGGCTGCACTGATGGCTGATGCACCAGGCCTGCCTCTGGCATTCCCAGGCAGGAAAACTCCTCCTTTCTGGTCCCCCTCAGCCATGCTGCCTGCATCCTGCCTTTGCCCTGCCTGCTTTTCCCTGCTGCCACACCATGCGGTTGTTGTCACTTCCATCATTCCCAGCAGCATGGCCACCCCAATGCCATGGTCCCCTCTACCTGCCTGGACTGACAGGTTCTCCCAGCTTCTCCCACTCTTCCCAAAGCCACCCATCGCCATTGCCAGGGGCCGTAGCGGGGTGGTTTGGGGGTTACCTTGGTGAAGGCGGGTTTTTCGGGGGCGCGGGGTTGAGCAGCAGCTGGACGGCAAGATGGGGCTGCAGGTCCTGTTTGAAGGCAGCGCCCTGCAGCGCACAGCCCAGCGGGGACACGCCGTTGTAGTCGATGGCGTTGACATCGGCCCCATGCTGCAGGAGGAAACGTGCCAGGCCGGCGTTGGCGGCCCCACAAGCCTTGTGCAAGGGGCTCCTCTGTGCCTCATC